AGAGGTAGCTATTGAAATTCCCCGGCTCCTCCCATAATCCCCGGCCCTTCCCACAGACTTTCCTACTTAGCATAGCGCAGAAACTCAAGATAAGTGACTTAAATAGTACGCTACTAACCATCTAGTAGATCAGCGCCAGGTATAATCGCCGGATAGTATACTTAAGAGCTAACTCCGCCTTATCTTCACCCTCTAGAGCTAAGGCCGTCATAATCCCGTCTATAGCCTAGATCTACTAAGCGGTTAGCTGGATAACATCCCCTAGTAGCACCTAGTCTAGCTGAGCTCGCGTGAAATAATCCTCTTTATAGTAGACTACGCGGTAGTAGTAGACTAATAACTACTTCATCGTAGTAAAGTACGTGACCAGAGTCAACGCGTTCTTAAAGTATCGAAACCCGTTAGCTTTACCTGAAGCCCTAGTATAGAATTCGCTTAGGATATTAGCCCGCTACTAGGTCATTTTCCGGTCTAGCGAAGTATCGCTATATAACCGGTAAGCGTTTCTCAGGATAACTTTAGCTACAACTAAGATCCGAGCGAGATACAGATCCTTAGTATACTCGCTACCCGCGTCGAGCTCTTTCTTCGGTAGCAGCTTATACGAGCTCTAGATCTCCTCGTCCTTCAGCGTAACTAAGTGGGATGAAAAGTGCGTTACATCGTGGAGCTATAGCACCCTTTCCGACTTAGAATCTCTAATATCCTGGACTACACCTACTTACTCCTTAAGATCGCATTTCATATCTTCGTAATCCTTCTCTAACCTTATAAATAATTCCTTCTCGGGCCCAGTTAGTTAAGACGAATAAGCTAGCTCCGGCATCTCTACGCCTTTAAGAACAACAAAATAAATAAGGAGGGCATTATTAGTAAAGTAAGTCTGGAGGAGGCAGCTCTCCTAAAGCGGCGTCGATTTATATTCCCTCGCACTTCTCCCGTTATAGCTAAGTATATAGTCCTGTATTCGCGGGAAGCGGATCATGTAGAAAGGATCCTCAAGGGGGCAGAGCAGATAGCGAAACCCCGCGTGGACTAGGAGGTACTCGATTGGGTGAACCGGCTCCCTAGGCCGCTCCCTCTTTAAGGTCTCTAGGTCCCGTAGCGTTAACCTATCGATATATACTAAGTAGGCCTTCAGAGCCGGACCTAGTAGATAGTGCAGCTCGCCCTGTAAGTGTCGCTTGACACTGCTCTAGCGGGGTACTAGGCACGTCTAGCAGCGCCGGCAAACAACTACTTAGTGGATCAGGTTATAGTTGTAAACAAGATCTAGCGATATAGTACCCTAAGGACTTACTGAAACAGGGCCTTCCCTAAGGCGTATACGAGTAGAGAGATCACTTACTACTAACTCAACCCCTTTTGGGACGTTACCCTATAGGATAGGATATAAGTCCGTGCCCGTTATAAGGGCATAAAGCCGTAAGTAGTCCGCGCCCCCTCATTGAACTATAAATAGAGCCTTATATTAGAGGGGAAATCGGAGATTTAGCTTAACTACAGCCACTACTAGGAATATAGATACTACTCCTATGCCTATTTTCAAATACTACTACCCTCTCTTGATTCAGGTCCGCTATTATTCCTACTTGACTCTATCGAACCGAGCTTTCCTTCCTTCTCATCACTTAGGCTTTCACGAACCCCTCTACTCTGCCTCTTTCTTTCGAGCGTCTAAATATAAGGACTTAACGTTGAATAAGATCAAAGTTTTTCTAGCTAGTTCTAGTAAACTCCATCGCCGCTCTCTCTCTCTCTCTCTCTCTCTTATAATTATCCCCCCTCGACTTCAACCTCCCCACCCCTAATTATTACTAGCCCCTCCCCCGCTAGAACTAGTCCATCTTCCTCCTCCTCCCTAACCTAGTCCAGGAGGTAGTACTGGGTTATAGGCACTAGCGGCCGAAAAACCGGGGTACGTGATCTAGAGAGAGATAACTTAGGGGACCTAGGCAACGGCAATATGAACTACTGGACAAGGGTTAAAGTAAGGTAAAGAGCCATTCCTGACTTGGATCTTCCTATTAATAAGTATATTACGAAGACTTTCGCTTAATTAAAAGTAATAGGTCCCTACGTTTTCGCCGTCCTCAGAAGAAGGAAGACCTTAGGGTAGTACAGCGTCTTTTTAGTAATCAGAAGATCTGTTAGTAAGGTCGGTAGATATGTGCCAGATCCTTTCGGCTTCTCGATATAGGTCCTTAACTGCTACTTAATCTATGTTATCCTAACCCACAAAGTGAAACTCGATCCCAGACCTATCACTAAGAAGTCGGGCAATAGCCCTCTTAACCCCTTCGTGAAGCTAGGCAAGACCTCCCTAGCTAGGGCCGGGGTACTTCTAATAGACAAGGTAAGTTAATTAATCCCAGACTTCTAAGTCGCGGGGACTATCTCGCTAGAAGAGGTAAGGAGGAGGAATCAAAGGTAAGGGGGAAGGGAGGAACGTACCTGATCGCACCTAATAATAGTGACCGTACACGCTCTAAACCTAGTAGGAAAGTGGTAATTAATCTCAGAACTTAGTCCAGACGTAGTAAAACCGAGTAAGCTAAGCGGAAGACCCCATTCGCCGTGACTTATCCGAACTACTAGGAACAACGGACTACCTCCCGCAGGTATCCACCCAGCTAGAAGCATCATCCCCGGCTTACTAAGAGCGTTTGGGTTAGGGGTATTCGCGATCTCATAGTTATGAAACTAGGTATTCGTTAAGTAGAATTAGGTATCTCTAGAGTTAAGTAAGTTAAGTGGGCCTTACTACGAGGTAAAGGAGCGATTATCTTAGGCATAGGCGTTTAGTCGCTAAGAGTTAGTACTAGTGTTTTAATTTCTAGGATTAGGGCGTTAAGGACCAGTATTCCCGTAAGAGAGTCCTTAGTTATTCCTCTAGTTGAAAGTTCCCGACATCTTCTCAGTAGTATATGTGGAAGCGAGGCTAAGAGGCGAGGTAAGGTTAAGAGAGTAGGTAAGAAGAAGAAGAAGAGAAAGATAAGGAGAAAGGAGCGCAGGTCCGTATATATATACGCCAGGTCAGGTCGTCCCTAGTGGACGAATACACAGTCACGTCGAATTACAGTAATACTAAATTATTTACAACGATGCCGAATCACGACCACGTCGAACGACGTCGAGTCACGATAATGCGGAATCATAATAACAACGGCCGCGAGCGCTAACTGTATAAAATCACAACCACGATAAGCCGTGAATTAGGACTGCGTAAAGTCACTGTCGCACTAAATCGTCGGGAGGTATATATACCCCTTCCCCCGCCCGCCTTACCTGTCTTCTTCACCTTTACCTCCTTACTTCTAACTTGCAGACCACTACCTAATACTCTACATATATCCACTGTTACCGCTTCTTCCTTAACTACCCTATATATCCTAAACTCCCTACTATAGACCCAACCAACAATCCACCAACCCTGGGCCCCTTCACCTTCTAGCCGGACAATAGATAGGACCATATCCGATACGCCCTACCTGCAAACCAAGACGAGGCGCGGCAGCGAGGCAGGGTCGAGCAGCAGGCGGATGGATTCGATATCGTGGTCGAGGATATAGTAAGTAGCCCCCCTCCCTTGTTCTCTCCCTCCCCTAGCTAGCTTCAACTGATTTCGAGGTAGAGCGAGACGGCCCAGGTCCGATTTCTCCTCGACCTGTTCTGCTTCCTGAGCTTCAGATTAGATAATCGACTTGTGATCGAGAACCCGGGCTTTGCCCTGGACTGGGAATATACCACGTATAAGCAGATCAAGGAGAGGTGGACGAACGAGCAGGTGGACAAGTACTTCTTCTCCAATAATCGAGCCACCCAACAGGTCTTAGAGGAGGAATTCTTTACCGGCTTCCACTAAGCCGGTTCGGGATCAGGGGGAGACGGCCCTTGCACTTAGAGTACGGAGAGGCGCTGGCTCCGCTTCCACGACACCGATTTAAATAATTAGAGTTAAACGGCAGAGGATATAATTAACCTAATATTACAGGGTCGGATTTGGAGAGTGGATTTCTCGAGTAATAAGGTCGGCGATTTCTACAGGGACTCGGGGCTTTATCAGTGGGATAAAGAGGAGCGATAGTAGAGGATTGAATTCTTAGACTAGGTAAGGAAAGGAGAGAGGGGGGGAAGGGAGTAGATAGCGGCGTGTGTTTAAGTCGGCTCGAAGATCTTAGACCTAAAATAGTTAATACGAGTTTTCCTTCTACCTGTCCTAGGAGAACTAATAAGTTTCTAAGGGATAAGTGGCAGTTGCGAATAGCAGTAATAGCCGAGGTAAGGTAGAATAAACGTTTGTTTTAGTTCGCTAATTACTAAGCGAGCATATATATACTAATAGCCTGTTATTAAAACAAACCTTAGGTACAGACCCGCGACCCTACTTCCCCCTTAGAACTCCAGAATCTAAGCTATCGCTATATATATAGTACGTAGAATAAAGGAAAGAAGGCGAAAACCTCAAGCGCTTAAACGGACTTCTCGCCTCCTCGTAGTTCTCGTTGTATATAGCACGGTATACCTAGGGCATCAGGCGCAGCTCCCCGTTGCTTACGTATACACGGCCTTTACTCTTTCCGTAGTATTCGTTAGAGGGGTGATTTAGAAAGTAATAGCTAAGAGGAGCGACTACGAGGAACAAGTTAACTGCCATCATATAGCAGTAAAACAACTAGTGATATAAATACATAGATTACAAAAGGTGATAATAATAATTAGGATATATGAATAGATTGTAATAGCAGGTGGATAATAGTAGTGGATAGTAGCCGCAGATAGTAGTACTGTATAGCAGTAGCAGCTACACGAAGTAGTAGTAGTGGATAGTAGTAGTAGATAGCTACAGGGGATAACAACTATTATATAATAGTAAAACAATTAGTAATATAGATTAAATATCTTCTACGAGGACTAAAAAGATAAAAGAAAGGAAAAGAAAAGAACACTCCAAACTTAACTATTAAGCTTTAAGACTCGATAGCGAGGTTTAGAGCGATGAGCCTCACTAGGAGTCGAACCTAGCCTCCCAGCTTAAAGATAAGCCAGCGTACTAACCACTATACCATAGAGCCGTTGCAATTAGATGCAATAGAATCGGGATCTGGATAGGAAAAGAAGGGGAAAAAAAACAGAAGAAAAAAGAAAGAAAAGTTAGTATTAACCCTAAGAGTAGTTAAGGGTAATACTAAGCTCTCATAAGCCTTACTAGGAGTCGAACCTAGGCCTCCTAGCTTAAAGATAAGCCGGCGTGCTAACTACTACACTATAGGGCCTTTTACAAATTAGATATTATAGAATCAGTTATCTGGATACATAGCCTGCTTAGAACTTAATCTTTAGGGAATAATTGCGCGTGCCAGACTTCAATTATATAGTAGTAAAACAGCTGGGTACCCCTAAGGTATAGACTGTAATAACTTATAATAATAGTTTCAGTGCATGAATAAATTGCGGTAGCGAATAGCAGCGGTGGGTAGCGGCGCTGATAGATCGCAATAGTAGCTACGGGGAGTAACTATAGCAAGTAACTGCAGGAGATAACTTGAACTACTGTATAGTAATAAAACAGCTAGGTGATACAAATACATAGACTATAAAAGCTTACTATAAGGATTTAGAGATACATGAAGATATTGCGTCGATGAGTAATAGCTATAAGTAGTAGTAGTAAAGAGGCGGCGGTAAATAGCAGTAGCGATAACTGCAAGGAGTAACTGCGAGAGGGGACTTCAACTATAGAATAGCAAAACAATCGGTCGTATAGATACATGGGCTATGCGGATCGCCTCTCGAGACTAGCCGTACGTCATATATCATGTACTCGGCCTCGCTTAAACTATACATCCCCTTTCCGTATAAACCTCTACCTAGATTCTAGACTTAGATATACGACCTTACTACCTACGTCCCGATTATACCCTCTCCTTTAGTATACGCCCTTCCGAATGCGTTCGAGTAAGCTAGGGAATTCCTATTAACTATACCTATTGAAATAAACAAAAGCAAAACATCGATTAAGTCGAGTGGCTTAGCGGTAATTTTCTTGAGTTTCTTAACCATCGCATATTTGAATCTGGAACTAACAGTGTTTCTAGAGGTAAAAATGAAGGTTGATTCGGAAGGCCGGCTCTACCTCGAGGTCCATGACTGCTACAGGGCCTCTCGCTACGTAGCGCAGAGTACGATAGCCGAAACCACTCTAGCGTTGTTCGCAGTAAGTAATTCCCCCCTCCAACCCTCATATGTACCTACTAAGTCCTCTCCTAGCCTTACCACGGAAACCTGTACTCCCCCCTCGCTAAGGAGTACGAGCGGGCCGCCGCAGAGTAGGCGTAGGACTTAGTTAGGATCTTAGTGAACACAGGCTTAATTCTCTATGTTCTAGGCAATAAGGCCTAAACTACTATCAAACTAGTCTAGTGTAGCGCGCGGTAGATTTCGGGGCGTTTTAAATAAAATCGTTAATTTACTTTTTAACTAACTCTATTCTTTCTTTTATATTTCCTACCTCCCCTCCCCTTTCTAAGGTCTAGGCTACGGGGTTATACTCGTACTCTACTACCCTAATCAGCCCTTACTCGCTACTACTATAAACTACTATAGCTGATCTAATCTTTTAACCTTTAATCAGCGACTAGGCTAATACTTCCAACAGTTCGTACTACCGTAGGAGACGTCATAGAGTAGGTTTGTAGGTTTGTTTATTTGATAGTTAGTTTGTTTGTTTTAGTCCTCGCTCGCTTAATGCTACTAGTACTCGCAGGCTTATATTAAGCAGGATCCTTTACTACGCTTTATAATCGCTTACCTTAGACACCCTATGATCGATACGCGTTTCCTTACTCAACGGATAATATAAGTAGGCCTAGCGATTACCGTAGCGGCGTTGGGGGAGGGGGGAGCCCTTAGGCCTTTTAGGATGTAACCTTTTAGAATATAAGTCCGTGCGCGTAGGGTGGGCACGGGCCGCTCCCAGGCCCGCGCCCCCCTTTTGGACCGCAAAAGGGCCCCCGCATAGGAGGTAGTAATATATAGCTAAGAAATACTTACCTAAGTATATACCTACTTTATACACTATATTAAGCAATTATTAACCCAGACCTTACTATCTTATTACAAAAGATAAGAAAATATAATAGCATATAGAATAAACTAGCGAAGGAAGACTTAGCATAGAGGAATAACATATATTAAGTAATCTAGTAAAAGGTCCCTAAGCGCCGTAAGTAAAAACTAGATATTATCCGTAAACTTACTCGTTTACTACTAACCTTTATAGTATGTAATATATAGTATTACTAGCCTATACTTAAGGTAAACGCTCCGCCGCCGCTAGGTATTACGCCAAGTAATAAATAATAGCTTACTCACGCGCAGGGGTTAACTAAAGCCCATATAAGTAGGGACTACCCACTTCTTCAGGAACTCGTCTATAATAGACTTATACCAGTTAATTACCTTTTACCGCTAGACCTTAGTACTGTTTGCAATCGTGTTAAGGAACAAATCTTGCAATAGCTTTAAGTCCTAAATAATAATTACTAAAGACCTCGTAAGTAGCTTAAGTAACTTAACGTTCTCCTAGTGCTAGCTAAAGAACTAGCTAAAAGTATTAGCGTTTAAGTTATCCTTTAGAGCCTACGTATATATCCGCGGAAAGCCCTAGGCCCCAAATATTAGCTTGTTATATAATAAGTGCCGAGCCTACTGGAATTCGAAGAGTAAGAGCTGCGGTATATAATCTATATATAAATTAATATTTTAATATATTAAGATCTTCTTATCTACATCCTACTATACTTAGTATAGCCTAACGACCTCCTTTAAGATAGTAAATAATAGTAAGCACTAGCTAAGAATCTTACTTATAAAAGTCTCAGTATCTTACCTCAAGAACTATTAATAATATTATTTAATACACTTAAGCGTATAACCTAGCTCTGCCTTCTCTAAAAAAACACTTGCGTAGAAGATAATTAATTACATAACCCAGATTATACTAAATAAGTAACTATTATAATTACTTAATTCCTTCTAGGTCTTTATATATAGCTTAATGCTTAGTATAGCGCAAAAGCTGAGTAAAGTAGAGCTATACTAATTACCTCTAAACTTATAGTAAATCAGCGCTATTAAGACGACTAACATAGTATTTCTTAGTATAAGCCAATCTTACTTAATAATACACTAAATAGCTGCTTCCTAAGCCTACTCTTAAGCAAGCGTGAATTCAATACAGCTTTCAGGGATCTACTAGTTATCGTCTGCTCTATTAAAGTAGCTGTCGCAGTACACTACTTAGTAGTAATAGGTCAGGAACTGCTTCTAGTAACTAAAATTAGTCTTAAGCGTAATAAGCTCCTTCTTAGGGTCGAATACCCGCGTCTTCTACCCTAGGGCAGCAGTAATATAGAAGTAGCTTAATATTAGCTACTATAGCTAAGTTAGTATATAGTCCGAGCTATTAAAGCACTAGCTCTATGCCTTGGAAAAGATCTTATTTATAACCTCTAGTATTAAGAATAGCTCAGATTCCCTTTTACTATTCTTAAGTACTATAAAGGAGCTATATATCTCGTTCTTCTTCAGGCCCCGCGTATACTCCTTGACGCTAATTCACCGCAGCTATAGCACTACGGCAGATTTGTAGCTATTAAAACCATAAATAATATTAGCTTCTGCTTTAGTATCTTCCCTTACAATAGCTGTATCCTTATTAAGTAATTTGAAAAAGTCTGCCTCTCCTAAATCTAAGCTCTCAGTACTAGTGTCTAAGGCCCCTGAGGCTCTTATAGCTCCCTTAGCGTTATCCACAATAAAATACCAGATATGCTACTTCTTAGCGAAGAAGGTTTAAATAGTATACTTCCGCTACGAGCTGCCCTTAACTTACTACGCTAGCTTCTACTAGTAGGCCTTAGATACGTGTACCTCTAGGGCGTGCTTCGACCGCGTGAGGTAGCTAGTGCAAAGGCAGTATATGAAAGCTGAATAGTAACGTAGGCCGTTAATAGCTAAGCAAGGCGAATTAGGTAGTACTACTCGACTCGGCAGCTGTAGCTTATACGTCGTGAAGAGGTTAAGGAGAGCCTGTAACTGCGGCCCTTTGCAGTAGTATAGGGACTACCTCAGGTATCGTTCCTAACTACTACGAAAGGGGAGGAGGCAGGTCTAGTACTTGATACAAAGCACCACGCTATAGACTTAGATATATGAAAAGCTAGCTACTATAATCCCCACGACGTCCCTGCGATTCTATTAAGCCGCTGTAGGGCTATAAGGCTATAAGGCGGCCCCCGTGGGAATTCTATATTTATAAAAGAATATTCATAAAGTAATAGCCTATATAGAGCCCCTAACCGGGGTAAGATTAAGTAAGTAGAAAATATTTATGCTATAAATACGCGAATTTCTAGAGGTAGGAAGTAAGTTATATTCTTAGTAGCTCCTTCTTCTACTTAGTTATGCCTATATTAGCTATGTACTAGGAGCAGCAAAGTAGCTCAGCTAGTGTAGTAGTATCTTCCTTTATTTAAACATATAAGATAATCTTATCTTAAGCCTAATCTAAGAGCTAGCTATTCTCTTACGCGTCCCTTGCCCTTCGCGCGCCTTCTTCAAGTAGACTCCCTCGCTTAATAGCCTGCTATACTATATAGAACAGATTTTACTAGTTTATTAATACTTAGATTACCTTAGAGTTTACTAAGTTATTCTACTATTTAAATATGGCTTATATTATTAAAGGTAGAGTAGCTATTAAGTAAATAAACTACGTATAGACATTACAGATTAAGATAAGATTAACTATAGCTTAGCGATAATTAAATACTATAATAGTTAAGTAAGTCTTATTAAATATAATACGGCTAAGGTCTTGCGTAGCCGCGAGCTTATAAGTGTAGGTCCAAAACTGTTCTATATATACTGCTTTAACTATAATAAATACTAAGAGTATATCTTGCTACTTGCCAGGCGACTATACTAAGTAATTAATCCCTAACTCTTGGACTCGGTGAAGAAGGTCCCCTTATAAAGATATAAGTAGTAAGACTAAGATTATTACCCTAGTATTAGGGAGAATATAGGATAGTATGAATAGTAAACTCTTTCCTTCGCTAGTAGCTATAATAACTACTACCTACTTAGTCTATAATATAATAGTAATTATAGCCCGCTCCTAAGCTACTGACTTCCACTTTAGTATATTATCTAAGTATAGCTTTCTTATACTCTTTAGTAGAGTTATAGCTAATTACTTCTTTTGTAGCTA